ATTATTCATATGAGGGGGTGCCAAAACATTAGTAGACAAATTCCATTCTTTCATTTCCATGTTTCCACAGCTTTTTGAAGCCTCCTTGTATATGTAATAGAGCACATAGGGGCACAGTTATAGAAATTACTTAAACATTGGCTCTGAATTACTACACTTGAAGGCTAAAGACTATAGTCTTGAGGAACATATAGGTCAACTGGCAAAACACAGTTCATAAAGAAAATGTTCTACAACCTAGTCTGGGCCTCTTCAGAAGCAAAGGAGAATAAAGAAAACCAAAGATTGAAGAAAGCAATTTATCCAGAGAACTAATGGGCCACATGAACCACAGCCTCCTCTAACCTGAAACCAGAAGAACTCGATGGTGCCTAGCTACCATTATTGTACATGCTGGTTGACCGAGACCACAATAGACTGTCTCAGTTAGAATGGGTAAAAAAATATATGGAGAACAAAATTCAAATTAAAACAAAGACCACACTTACTGGTCTGGAGGAACCCTTAAGACTATTGCCCTACGACAGTAATACCTTGAAACTCAAGATACTCCCAGAAGTCACCTCTCAGTCAAATAATGTTGTTGTTGTTAAGTACCATTGAGTAGGTTATGACTCATAGCGACCCTGTATAGGGTTTTCAAGGCTTTAAATCTTCATGGGAGTAGAAAGCCTCATCTTTCTTCTATAGAGCAGCTGGCAGGCTCAAACTGCAGACCTTATGGTTCGCAATCCAGTCCTTATTGTATGGAGCCACTGTGCTCCCGAGCCAAATAATTATTGTTAAGTTCCATCGAGTAAGTTCAGACTCATAGCAACCCTGAGTAGGGTTTCAGAGGAGTGGCTGGTGAGTTTGAACTACCAACCTTGAGGTTCCAACTGATCTTGAGGTCGAGCACTTGTCCTATGATGCCACACCAGGACTCCAACCAAATAATAGATGGGTCTATAAAGTAAACAACACCTGTGAAGATTGTGCTTCCTAGAGCAATCAACTATGTGAGACCAAAAAGACAATATTTATGCAAAATTAAGAGAGCACAGAAGTACAGAGAAACTGGAAGAATGGAAGTGGAGGACCAAGGGAGAAAATAGGAGAGTGTTGACACATGGTAGGGATTGCAATCGATGTTGCATGAGCTACTTGTGTATTAATATTGATCAGAAAACTAATTTAATATTTAAACTTTCACTTAATGCACAATAAAATTTTAATTTATTTTATTTTTTAAAAGATTACAGCCAAGAAAACTCTGTGGGGCAATTCTACTCTGTCACGTGGGGTTGCTTTGAGTTGGAATCAACTCCATTACATCGGGTTACTTTAATTTGTTTTCCTGTTTTCTATTTACTGGAGCACATCTCTCAGTAGTCTATGATGTAGAAGTGGAGCTAAATTTCTTGACTTCGTACATATCTGAAAAATGCCTTTGCTCTACCTTATCTCTAGTGAAGCCAAACCAGTGAAGCTTATGCATGTCTAAGGAGAGATTTATATCAAGGAAATGACTCACACAGTTGGAGGGGTGGACAAACCCCAAGTCTGTGAGTTAGATGTTAGGCTGGAGGCTTCTTACTTACATAGCTGCAGGGCTGATAAACCAAGATGAGCAGGTCAGACGGTAGACAAGCAGGTTTAGCAGGTAAGAAGGCAGACTCCCAGGATTGGCAGGTAATACAGCAGGCCAGGGGCTCAAGTACAAAGAACTGGAGGTTGAAGGACAAACCAGACGCAAGATCCAGGCCCAGCAGAGAACAAGTAAGCCTTGCCTGAGTGTCCAATATATTGGAAGCCGGCCACACCCCTAAGGAATCTTCTCTTCAATTGATTTTCTGCTTATAGCAGACCTCATCATGGAAGTGATTACATTATATTAGATCTCATCATTAAGGATAACGACATCTCAACTGCTAAACCACTGACAATTCTGGCCCAGTCAAGTTGACACAAAACCTTGCTATCACATCTCTTATTGATCATTTGGCACAAAATTGTAGGTTATCAGTTATTTTTCTTCAGAATTTTAAAAATATTGCCACATTGTTTTCTGTTATCCAATATTGTATTGAGAAGTCAGATGCCATACTGACTCCTGTTCTTTTCTTCCTTCCTTCCTTTCTTTTTTTTTTTTTTCCTTTCTTTTTAAATTCTCTTTTTGAAAGCTTTCAGGATCTTCTCTTTTTCTCTAGTGTTCTGAGATATTACAATGATGTGCCTTGATGTGACTCATTTTCTTTCATTGTACTGGGCACTTTTAAAAATGGAGAGATTCATTCCAGAAAGAATTTCCATAATTTCTTTTATAATCAGTCTGACATACCACACACTCACTCTTCCTCTCTCACTTCCTTTCTCTTTTTAGAACACCTACTAATCAGATAAGGAGCTCTGGTAGCGTAGTGGTTATGAATCAGGCTGCTAACTTCAAGGTCGGCAGTTTGAAACTACCAGCTGTTCTGCGGGAGAAAGATGAGGCTTTCTACTCCCATAAAGATTTACAGCCTCGGAAACCCTGTGCAGGGTCACTATGAGTTGGAACCGACTCCACGGTACTTAACAACAACAATAACTAATCAGATATTAGACTATATTACTTGACCTAATTTTCTTTCTTTTTTCCTGTATATTTTTGTTGGGTTTCTCTTCTAGCACCTTGTTTGTTACTTGTTTTCAATTTTGACCACAGGTTTATGTTTCTTGAAACTGTTGTTGTTGTTGTTGTTGTTGATGGTGACAGCCGAATAGGTGCGCACCGACTCGTAGCGATCCTATATAAACAGAATGAAACACTGCCCAATCCAGGGCCAACCTCACAATTGTTGCCACGCTTGAGCCAATTGATGCTGCCACTTTGCCAATCCATCTTTCTGGGGGTCTTCCTCTTTTTCTCTGACCCTCCACCTTACCAAATATGATATCCCTCTCCGGTGATTGGTCCCTCCTGACAATATGTCTGAAGTATGAGAGATGAAGTTTGGCCATCCTGGCCTCCAAAGAGAACTCTGGCTGCACTTCTTCCAATACAGATCTATTGGCTCTTTTGGCAGCCCATGGCACTTTCAATATTCTCCTCCAACACCATAACTCAAAGGCATCAATTCTTCTACGGTCTTCCTTATTCACTGTCTGGCTTTTGCATGCATATGAGGTTAATGAAAATACCATGGCTTGGGTCGGGCACCCCTTAGTCCTCGAGCTGATATCTTTGCTCTTCAACACTTTAAAAAGGTCTTATGCAGCAGATTTGCCTAATGCAATACGTCGTTTGATTTTTTTGACTGCTGCTTCCATGAGTGTTGATGATTGATCCAAGAAGAATGAAGTCCTTGACAACTTCAATCTTTTCTCCATTGATAAGAATGTTGTTTATTGGTCCAGTGGTGAGGATTTTCTTTTCTTTTCATTGAGACACAATCCATACTGTGCTCTTTGATCTTCTTAAGTAAATATTTTAAGTCCTCTTCACTTTCAGCAAGCAAGGTTGTATCATTTGCATATCACAAACTGTTAATGAGTCTTCCTCCAATCCTGATGCATGTTTTTCTTAATATAACCCAGCTTCTTGTATTATTTGCTCAGCATACAGGTTGAATAAGTATGGTGAAAGAATACAACCCTATCACACACCTTAATTTTAAGCGATTCAGTGTTCCCATGTTCTGTTCGAACAACTGCCTCTTGGTCCAGGTACAGATTCCTCATGAGCACAATTAAGTGTTCCGGAATACTCATACTTCACAATGTTTTCCAATGCTATGAGTTGGAACTGACTCCACGGCACATAACCAACCAAATTAGAAGTATAACCATTAGTCAGATAGCAGTCATATTGTATTTGTCATTACCTGCTCATGAGCATCAAAACTTACAAATTGGGTGTCTTGAGGCTTGGAAGAAAGTTCCAGAAAAAGAAGAGGAACACTTTTAAGAAATGCTGCATCACCAAAGCCGTTGGTGGAATGCACATTGTGTGGGAAATCATGGACATCCAAGATTGAGTAAAAAACCAGAATCATTAAGAGCCTCTGAGTGAAGGTTTAGGAGGAATGTTATGTTATTTCACTTCTATTTTCTTTTTCGTGTATGCACAGGAGTGATATTTGATGAAAATCCACATTGAAAGAATTCTACACTTTCACTAAGTGTAAAATAAATTTCTAAGCGATAAGAAAGCATTGTATTACAGTTTATTTGCAACTGTTTTCCTTAGCAGAACAAGAAATAATGAGTTTTACAGTTGCTGGCATCCCGTCAAGAGACAAAAGTAAAGTAGAATCATGAGATGAAAGGAGCAATTCTTGAACTATAGTATGTTGCTGTTGAGTGCCGTGGAGTCAGTTCCAACTCATAGCGACCCTGTATAGGATTTCCGACGAGCAACTGGTGGGTATGATCCAACTGATAAGTCCCAATGCTTACTTATCTTACAGAGCCATACCCAAAATCCAAAAAACTAAACCCACTGCCATCAAGTTGATTCTGACTCCTAATGTTCTTAAAGGGCAGAGTAGAACTGCGCTATAGGGTTTCCGAGATTAAAGTTTTCAGGAAGCAAAGAGACTCATCTTTCTCCCCTACAGCGGTGGGTGGGTTTGAGCCGCTGACTGTTAAGTTAGCAGCCCAATGATTAACCCACTACAGCACTAGAGATCGTCAACGATTCTTAGCAGGCACCAAAAAGGCCTAACCCAAGCTATAGAGACGCCTTTCCAGGGGACTGGCCAGTATTTTCACCGCGTGCTGTTTAGTTGACTGGTAAATTAACACTAGTTGTATTGGTCAGCGAAATCTCCTAACTGCAACCGCTCCTCTCCAGTCTCGGTGAGAGCAGGGCTGTGATTGGCAAGCTTTCAGGGGCGGGCCGGTTAGGCCTTAGCCCCACTTCTCCTAGCGTCCGCGCGCCCATCCTGGGCGTGGATTGGGCCGCGGACTGTCAACGTTACCAGGGAGGCGTGGCCAGCACTAATAAAGTCCTGGACTAGCGCGGTAGCTGCAGTAAGTTCTACCGCAGCCAGAGCTCCGGGTGGTCTGGTCAGCGAGAGGCAGAACTCGGAACTTCTGTTGACTCAGCCACAGCTATCCCCCTTCGCCGGGTGTCTCGCCGCAGCCTCTGGAGGAGACGAACCCCCTAACCCCTGTGTCAGAAAAATGTGAGTTGACTCTGATGTTGGGCATTCGGTACCTCTTTGCTAACCCTCAGCGCCGGACTCTGCGGGACGAAAAATGGCGCATTGCAGCAGCTGCAGCGACGCGGGGAACCACTATTGCGCGCCGCCCCCAGATCGGGTTATCCCTAGGGAGTGGGGCAGTATCCCATTGTCGCAGCAGTCATCGCTAGCACCCCACGGACAGGGTAGGGACATGGGGGTCCCACATTCATTGCACCCTCTCCTCTCGCCTGTGGGGCGCTTCATTCCAGGTTTCTGGATAGTGGAGTCCTGGAAAAGGCGAAGGGAGATTTGGAGACTTCAGGGTAGGGGGCTCGAGCCTCGCTCTTATGTCTGACTGAGTCTGTACTTAGGCCTCTTGAAAGACAGTCATGGGTTCACCCTTAAGTTACAATTCAGGGTAGTAACTTGACTTGCTCAGCAACCTCTGGATTTGTTCACGCCCCTCACGCTCGAAGTGTGATGTGTGCCCACCCAAGGGCAGTGAGCAAAGCTCCAGAAACTTATTTGCCAGTTTTGTGGCGCCAGGTGGGCAGCTCAGCAAGACTCAAGGGATAGTAGCATGTGATTCCACACAGCCACTCATCCCAAGGCCACCGTTTAGAAGGTGTTTTCCTGTTATGAGTCGTAGGTGAGTATTTGGAAGAGAAACAGGGAGAACTGAATATCATCCCCTTCTCCCAATTTACTCAGTTTTGTTTCTGCCATCTTCAACATTACCCCTTCTCCCAAGATCCTGAGGGAGAACTATGGCTAGATAAATGAATGACTTCCCTGTCAGGGCCACAATATGTATATTAGAGATTTTTCTTTCCGATTACTACCAGAAACCCTGATCCTGGTCTTTGATCTATTTGTGCTGTTTCTCTTAGTAACAAAAAAGAGGAGTTACTTGTGTTACATAAAGCTTATAGCTGTCCTTGTCTGTTTTACAGCTGAGTGCTTTCAAGTCCCAACAAGTAGTAAGTGAAATGGGCTCCCCAAATGGAATGCTTTATGGCTGTTTCATGCCCCCCCCCCATTTCAGATTTAATACTTGTGGTTTTAGCTGTATATGATAACCCAAGCATTTTGGTCAAGCCCTAGGATAACAGTTGTTTTCATTGTGGGGAAGGGAGGTGGAGGGATCTCTTTCAGCCATCTGGTTCCCGGTAGCATCCATGTGGGATGAATGGAAGGAGATGGAGAACGCATGGTGGCTAGCAGGGCATCACGAGGTACCTGACCTTAATTTTGTCATTGGTGTCACCATCCTGGACTTTTTCCAAGACCCAACACGGGCTGGTACATACTCATTAAAATTTCCACCTTTAGTTGAGAACTAGATTGCTTAGCTTTGTAGCAGCGCTCCAGTCTTGTGGCTTAAGTGGCTTTGTATCTTTCTTTCCTCTGCCTCCCTTGTGCTTTAGAGGGGAATGTAAAAGTGATTCCTTAGTGGGACTGAGCCAGGTGTAACTTGCTGGTATAGCTTCTCTGAAGAATTATTTTCTATCATTTTGGACAGAAAGAAATTCACTCAGGGGGAGGAACTTCTGGGTATTAATTCTATTGTGATCGTTGTTTGTGCTGCGGAGTCGGTTCAGAGAGTTTCCAAGGAGTGGCTGGTGGGCTTGAACTGCCAACTTTGCAGTTACCTTGTGGTTAGCAGTCCAGTGCTTATCCAACAAGGACTTTCCTTTTGGATGACTTTCTTGATGGTTTAGCACCTAGTGCATTTACTCTTGGGTTGCTCCAGTGAGGCAAGTTTCCTGCGGTTCTGCTTCTGTTTGATGAGGAGCTCTTGTTGTCTAATTTCTATTCTCCATCATCTCTCACCTGCCTGTGGGTTCTTACTTTGCAGAGAAAAATCTCACGCTTTAGGTTAGACTTCTGAGAATTCTTTTGGAGAGAACTTCATCTTGAAGAACCCATATCAGATTATCATTATCTGGTATGGGATCCCTTACTTTAGGTGGTTCTGAAAAATAGACTAGCCTGCATAGTGTAGGAGTATAAACAAAGATTTCTCTTTGGGAGATGAGGAACTAGAGGAGTCTCCTGTGATCTCATGCCAATTTAGAAAAAGAAAAGGATACGATGTCTATGATGCAGGTACATTGAGGGCCATTTCCAGCATTTTTGCTTCCTGTCTGTGCTCTTGGAACAGTGTCCATAACTAATGCAATTGCCTTGGGTGGCTGGTTTTGTCCAAGTGAAACCTCTACTTTCTCTGCCAAAAACAAAGCAAACAGCCCTGACTCACCCCACCTACATAGACATTGCTTCTGGTGATTATCCAAGTTGTCCTTATTCAACAGCCCTGATATACTACTAATCATCCTGTGAAGCGTGACCAATAACTGCACCCCCTTCAACAGAGTCAGTCAGCATGCTCTTTCCTTTTATGCTCAGACTTTGCTAAAAAGGAGCAATTCACTCCCTAGGCGTATCCTGAATAGTTAGTCTTTTTCTCTGAGTTTCCCCTAACCAGACAGGGGGGTTCTAGTTTGAAATCATGTGGAAGGCTTCGACAGCTGGAGAAATGTAATTTAGGCCAAGGCTGACACATTTGTCCCTAGAACCTCTGTACCAGAGGGAATATTTGAGTAGAGTTTAACATTAGTGGTAAGGAGCTCTGGTAGCGTAGTGGTTATGAATCGGACTGTGAATTGCAAGGTCAGCAATTCAAAACTACCAACTGTTCCATGGGAGAAAGATGAGGCTTTCTGCTCCCATAAAAATTTGTAGCCTTGGAAACCCTGTACAGGGTTGCTGTGAGTCAGAACCGATTCCATGGCACATCACAATCACAACAACAACATTAGTGGTAGCTCCAAACAAAATTTTATGATGCCACTCTTAGTGTTCCTGAGCCCCATCTGAATGTTACAGGGTTTTCCATCTTTTACTTCTTGTCACTAGGCTGAATCTCCCTGCTTAGGGTTGCCAAGGAATAGTACTCCTATTTGCATATAAAACCAAACCAAATCCAGTGCAGTCCATTCCAACTCATGGTTGTCCTACAGGACAGGGTAGAACTGCCCCTTGGGTTTCCAGACCTGTGAATGTTTACAGAAGCAGACAGCCACATCGCTCTGCAGAGCAGCTAGTGGGTTCAAACAGCCAGCCTTTCAGTTAGCAGTCGAGTGCTTTAACCACTGTGACATCAGGGTGCCATTAAATGTGCGTAGAACCTAATCATACTTGTTTTGGTGGTTTGGGGTGAGAAATGCCCCCAATGAGAGGGCTGCTGACTTGACTGGATCACTTTTATTCTCTGCCCACAGGTCTGCTCCAGCTCAGCCACCTGCCCAGGGGGAAGAGGGGGCTGCCCCGGGTGGGGGTCCCCCTGGGCCTCCTCCTAATATGACCAGTAACAGACGACTACAGCAAACCCAGGCACAAGTGGAGGAGGTAGGTGGATAGCTGTTTTCAGAATCAGAGACATTTTGAAACAGAAGGGAAAACCTTATCTATTTTTCTCTCTTATAAAGGGTTAGCCAAAGGCTCTGAAGGGACGAGGTCCAGAACAACCCTTAAGAGTTAAGCAGGGCCAGACTTGATTCCATTGTCTGTGATGTCCCTCGTTGGGGAGCTTAACATCTTTATTCTGTGACCCCCTCAGGTGGTGGACATCATGCGTGTGAATGTGGACAAGGTCCTGGAGAGGGACCAAAAGCTGTCGGAACTAGATGACCGAGCCGATGCCTTGCAGGCGGGAGCATCACAATTTGAGAGCAGTGCTGCCAAGCTAAAGAGGAAGTATTGGTGGAAAAATTGCAAGGTTAGTTAGTTTTCCTTGCCTCCTCCCCCTAATTTTCCTGGGCTTCACCTTGTAAAAGGCAAGAAAATCCCTCTGGTTCTACATTTCTTCCCTCTCAAGGACACAAAAGGAGCTCTGATAGCGTTATGAATCAGGCTGCTAACATCAAGGTTGGCAGTTTGAAACTATCAGCGGTTCCGCGGGAGAAAGATGAGGCTGTCTGCTCCCATAAAGATTTGCAGCCTCGGAAACCCTGTTCAGGGTCACTATGAGTCGGAACTGACTCCACGGTACTTAACAACAACAACAAGCAGGATCTCTTCCTCTTGGAGGAAAGCCTGACAGCCTCCTTCATGTGATGCATTACCCAGCGTTGGCCACCAGGGGAGGCTAGAGTATTCAGAACTACTGACAGAGAAAAATAAACCAAAAGCTACCCTAAGGAATTTGGAAAGGTCTAGTGAAATAGCTTTCCCTAAGTGCTTCTCCTGTAAAAAAATTCTCACCTGGTCCTTCCTCAGGTATAACTGATATTAATGCAACTTTTTTTTTTTTTTTTTTTTTAATACCTGTGACTTTTGGGGATAAGTTGAACACTTCACAGGGAAAAGTAAACCAATAAGCTAAAGATCCAAAGTCTGTAGATTCATTGGAATTCCTTTTAAAACCTTAAGGCAAGAGGAATCCTATAAAAAGGAGCAAACTGCAGGTGTTCTGGTGTTTCTGAGGAGCTACCTCTGTGGTCCAGCGAGTATTCTGATGGTTCTGATGAGAAGCAGGAGGTTGGGACCTCTCTGAGAGGAGGCTTGCCCATCTCCTAAGTGATTTGTGTTTTCTTCCCCTTCCCGAGGATGGAGGGAGTTCTGTCCCCACCTCTCTTGCCCTGCGTCCTTTCCTTTTTCCCACATCCAAGGGTTCATATTTTTGTTTCCTTTTCTTCAGATGATGATCATGCTGGGAGCCATCTGTGCCATCATCGTGGTAGTTATTGTAAGTAAGTATCACTGAGGTTGCTGATGGGGTGACGAGGTGGGAAGGTCCCGGAATCTTCTGCCTGCCTGCCTGCCTGCCTGCCTGGGGAGTGGGGCTGCTCTGACTGAGGTATGGACACTGTTGCTATGGGACCATCACCTGGTTTGGGAGGGAGCAAGGGGCGGGTCCTCTGGCCAAGTCAAAGGACTTCCTCGGTGGATGAGCCTTCCTTCTGCAAGATAGTGCTGGGGGGAAATGGCCCCTCCTGTTCTAAGGAAGTGAGGCTATGCTATCTATCAGTGGCTTGGGTCAGAGGGATCCCTGGGAGTGGGATACCTACAACTGAAAGACCAAAATATCTATAACTTGATGTAATTTGCCATCTTGTTTTCTCCTGTCTCTTTTTCTTTTCCATCCGGGACTTCCTGATACCTGTGTCCAGTCTACTTTTTTACTTGAGAATGTACCATCCCTCCCCCTTCTCCATTGCCATCCAAACTCACGCCCTTCTCCCTCTGTTTGCTCTCTCACCAAACTTCCCCAGCTGCCTTCTGACATCCCAGTCCAGGCTTCTCTGCCACTCATTCCTCCTTTTTTTTGTTGCTTCCATTTGCACTATGTCCCTCAGCACTAGAAATGCTGCTCGTGGCACAGTCTTGAAGTCCCTACCTGGAGATCAACAGCTGGTGCCTTCTCTCTATCCCCTCTTCTTATGTACTCTCAAGTTCTCCCAAAGCCAAAAAGAGTTGGAGGCCAGGGGAAAGGGGAGTAGCTGAGGTGGAGTGCTCAAGAGGCTGCCAAGATTGGGAAAGGAGAAAGGTACTGATGCTTACAGTATCTTTAGGAAAGGCCAGACAGCTGACAAGAGGCCGGGCACAGTTAACAAAATGGTAGCTCACACAGTGCTGCTTTTGCTATTCTACCTGGAATGTTCCTCCTCTGCCCGTCCAGCCCTGGAAGAGGATCCTGTGGGTGGTCCCAACATCCAACTTGGTCCTAGTATAATACCCTTTTAGCAAGTGAAAACAGTTGTGGGTTTTTTTGTTTGTTTTTTTTGCGGGGGGGCGGGGGGGAAGTTTTTTTCTAATCTGCTAGTCAGTCCAAGATTTTCTATATCTTCAGGGATCTTACAACCTTTTGCTTTGTTCTCTGTAGGTCTGGAGAACAAACACATTGAAATAACATGGGAACTCTCATTCCCATCCTAGAAGCAGCTCCGTCAGCTCCTAACTGGGAGGGGCTGTCTCTTCATATCCTTTGCAGTACTCTGTGCTGTTCATGAAGGGCACCAAATAATTTCACATAGCCAAAGTTTTTGAACTTTCAGTTCATTTTAATGATTGCCATAAGGAGAGAATGCCTGTTAGTTATAGAGAAACTAAGTCCAGGCCCTGATTTAAAAATTAACTCGGAGAGGGGGAAAATAGCTTGGAGGCAGCTACTTCTTGCCCTCTTACTAAGGAGAGTCTTGTTCCTCCCTTCCTGTTGATAAGGACATGTGAAGGTGTTAGACACGAGGGTTTCGGGAATCCTTTGACATCACCCCTGTGTATTTGCCAAAAACAGAGACAAGGCAAAAAGTCCTTCCCAGGGCCTGGCCAGTTCTGAGTATTTGGAGACATTTGGGTGTGTACCCATCAACTCAGCCTTTGGATGGGAGGCGTGACAGTCTGTAGACAGGTGTGCCTGTGTTTTGCTGTGTTGTCATGGGGCCCTCTAGGCTAGAGGTACCTCTGTTCTTCCTACTGTCCATTCCCCATCTAAACTGCCCTTCCTTACCCATCTGGATTCAACTTCGCCTCCTTCCTTTTTCTTGTCTCTGCCTAGTTTATGGATACAGACAGTGAGACCTGAGAGTGGGAGTTGCTCGGCCTGTCTTGTGGCCTCCAGCTACCTTCAGCATAGGATGTTGCATGTGATCAACTGGAAGGGTGAGGGGAGGAAGGCAGGCTAGAACATACCTGAAGACATTTCTTCCTTCCATCCTCCAACCCATAGGCAGGAAGAGGCCATAGCCGGGCTGGGCTGGGGCTGGATGCTTGCTCTCCATGCAGCAGCATTTCATTGTGCAAACCCATCTATCCTTCCCCTTTGCCCCTGTCTCCCACTCCCTTCATCCTGCCCTGGGCAGGACCGAAGAGCTGGAAGAAAGCAGTCAGTGTGCCCTCCCAACGGCCCCCCTCGAAGTCTCCACTCTCCCCAGGGCTCCTCCTTGCCTAATACAGGGGGTCACCGCTGGAGAAGAACCATCACTGTCCTCGATGTATCCCAAGCCTGGAGCAAATCTGCCCTCTTGACCCACCCAGCCCTGTCATAGGAATAACTTCCAGGGTTTCTGTCCCTCTGAGGCTCACCAGAAGTAGTTGGCTTTGTTCTTTGGGGGGTGTTAGCCCTTCCACTTTCTTTCTCATCCTACTCTGTACCCTCTTTTGTGTCTTTGTTTTCCTTCCTCTTTCCCTCCACACATGTGCATGAAAAAATATGCAACTAAACCCTGGGACTTTGCAGTCAAGTGGAGCTGAGCTTCTCACATCCCCTTCTTCTTCAGTTTGCTCTGAATCGAGGTGGGGTTTCCACTGTGTGTCTGTCATCACCTCATTGTCTTTTTTTCCTAACCCTGGTCTTATACTTGTATAGAGTAATAACACTTGTACTTCCACCAAAGGCATGTGGCATATTTACCGATTTCATGTATTCTGAACAAAGGCAAAAAATACAAATTCCTACAACTAAATCGACTTGGTTGTTGTTTGGGTTGGAGGAACTAGGGAGGTGGGAGGGGGGAGCACCAGTTCTTTCTAGTAGTCTGATGTTGCCTTGGACCGGAAGGGCTGGCATATGTGTGCTGTATGGTCTACAAGACTTCTGTGTGTCAGCAGAGGAAGTGGGCTCTGTTTTCAGCATTTGTACCTGTAGCAGCCCAACTTCTGCAGGTGCTAGTGAAAGGAAGTGATGACAGGAAGTGGAGCGGGCTTCTCACACTGGCAGACAGAGGCAGGCATCTTTCTCAGGCATCGCTCATTTACCTTTTTCCTAGGTCCTCGGCCTGCCCAGTCTGTCCCAGGGGACCTGCCCAGATGAGGCCTCCACTCAACACCCTCTGTTCCTCATCACCTTCACATGCAGTTTTCTTACACGGAGGAGTCCCACTGTTTCAGCCACGTACATTTTAGAAGTGAATTATTTATTTATTGGAAGTGAATTAAAGGAGAACTATCTCTCCTGTAGCTAAGGGGGCAAGGACTTGTTGTTGTTGTTGTTGTTATGTGCCGCGGAGTCGGTTCCAACTCATAGCGACCCTGTACAGGGTTTCTGAGGCTGTAAATCTTTACGGGAATAGAAAGCCTCATCTTTCTCCCGTGGAACAGCTGGTAGTTTCGAACTGCTGACCGTGAGATTAGCAGCCCAATTCGTAACCACTACGCTAAAATAACTGGCCTCTATCTAAAGGAGCTTAAAGTTAAGCAGAAAAACCAAGATGGAGTCCTAGGGTTGCTTCTGAGGGCCTTTGTTTTACATCTTGAGTACTTTGCAAGTTGGAACAGCTAGGCTTGGGGACAAATGAGGAAGTAGAGAAGCTTTGCCTCAGAAGGTACACAGGGCTTTTATTTTGACAGTCCAGTATTTGTGAGTGGTGGCCCAAACCCCACGTCTGTGCCCTATGGCCCCTCACTTTCTTAATTTCTATTTGCTTTTCCCACCACCTCATCTCAAATCTGGCTCTTTTGTTTTAACCTCCATCTAGATGCTCTGCCTTTCTATTGCCCTCTCACCTCTTTATACTTTTTCCCTAGGTGGAACTGCCCAGGATCCATGATGAAGGGAGGTAGAGATAGCAGAGCCAGAACCAGAGTCAGTGTGCCCACAACCTGATGGTTTCTTCAGGCCTTTCTCGGGGCTTGTTTGAACTCTGGAGTTTCGGCTCTCTTTGGAGTCCCTCTGGGAGAATGTGATTGCTCTGAGGTTGGAGAGTAGCTACTCAGAGTGTCTCAGGCTCTTGACCTTGGTAAGGGTGGCTAGAAGGAGACAAGAAGAAATGAGATTAGTTTCAGTTGGAATAACCTCAAAAGCAGGGGGTTGTAGTGACTGGGCCAGTTCAGAGTTGGGGTGCTTGGGCTTCATCTTTGGTCAGAATGGGGAGGTGGTTAGAATGGGCTGATCTATGGGGAAGGTGGACTAGAGGCCAGAGCTGAGGGCAACCGTGCTCTTACCTTTCTGCCTCTGAAAACAGTGCAAGAACAACAGTGCAAGAAGGAAGAGGCTGGTGGCAAAGAAGACTCCAAAGGACATTCTCCTCTCTGTAGGGTAGAGCAACACGGGGTAGCATTGTTGGCTGAGCCCTCACCTCCAGTGTCCACCCCAGGGAGGAGGAGCAGGGTAAGAGTGTGCATTTGCGATTCGCCAGTGGAGGAACTCACCCAGGGCACATTGGAGCATTTATTGAAAGTGGTTGGATGTTTGTGTGTGCTACGTCATACATTTCTCTACCTCTTCCCCCTCAGAATACTTTTTAAAAAATATCAATTTGCAAGAGAGATTTGGATTAGCTGAGCTGTGAACAGTTACACTGGGATTTTGTAGCTAGCTGGGGAAGAATGTGAGCAGAGACAAAACCCCTCTTCTCAGGAAGCTCACAGTCTAGGGAGCAACCAAATCAGGTCCAGTGCTGCTTGTGTTTGCATTTCTGAGTACAAATTCTTTGCTATCCCACTTAAAGCCTGCCAGTGACATTCTATGGCTTTCAGGATTAAGTTCAACTGTAAAAGCCCCTGTGGTCCAGTTTTACACCTTGAGGGGAGGCAGACTGTTTTTCACATTTTCTATTTGATCAATGATTAGGGTAGGTGACCTTGGATAAGTAAAGTGGAATTATGGTAATAATTTGAGATGATACGTATACTTAGTCTAGTGTAAGTGCTCAGTAAATATAAGGACTGCAACAACTTCAGTGCCTTCCACCTCCTCTTTTTACATATACCTTGACTCTAGGTGGGCTGAGTTTCTTACAGTTCCCCAAAGTCTGAGGCTGCTGGATAGGTTAGCTATCACACATGCTGTTCCTTTTGTCTTTAGTGTTCCTGTCTTCCTGAGCAAGCTGGCTTAACTCACTTGTCTCTTCTAGATTGTCTTCCTGGCTCCAAATCTCGCTTCTCAACTAGGCTAAACTCCGTAAGGGCAGGATCGGGCCTTGTTTAGTCTTGATCTCCAGCCTGTAGCACAATGCCCAACACATTGGAGAGGAGGATCTAATGAAGTCTCAAGGGATGTGTGGTGGGAGCTGCGGAGGCTACCGTCTTGGGAAAGAGAAACCTCACAGCAGAAGCAGGAGAAGGTGCAGCTGGGACTGTGAACAAAGCAGTGGAAAGCAGACCAGAGAGGTGTTTGGGGCAGGAGAGCTGGGAGCCCAAGTCTGGAGGTGGAGAAAGGAGGGCAATCTAGTACCTGGTAGGGCAACCCAGGTGCTGACCACAAGGGGCTCTTCCAGGGAGATGTGGGTGACTTGGCAGGTGTATGTGGCACCTGCAGAGCCAGGCTCTATTCTTAGGAAGGAGGAGATGCTGTAGGTGCCTGCTATGCTTTGCCTGAGGCTAGAGTAGGAGGCCCCTGAGACTTGGACTGGGATCCCTCCCAGCTCCTCTCGGGTCCACGTCACAGCCACGTCCAGAGGGTAATAGCCAGCAATGTTGCAGATGAGGATGGGTGCCTGAGCTTTGTTTACCAAGTTCAGTTGTACTTTGGGGGGAGCTGGAAGAAAGAATGAAGAGTAAGACTTCAGAGAGATCCATCTGGGAACAAGAGAGGTGCTGAAATTTTCTCTTTCTGCTGGGAGTGAGAGTAGATTGTGGCGGTTAAAGTTTCCCCCTCAGTGGTGTAACAAGGAGTTAGGGGTGTAAAGATTCCACCATGATTAGGCAATTGTTGTTAAGTGCCGTCAAGTCAGTTCTGACACAAAGTGACCCTGTATAGAGTTTCCAAGGAGTTGCTGGTGAGTTTGAACCGCCGACCTTGTGGTTCAAACTGACATTGCTGTCCGCTGCTTATCCCACAGTGCCACACCAGGACTTTTGTAGATAATTTAAAACCAATGGTAAAGCTTTAACAACCAAAGGTGGGCTTGCTTTTTCTTGTGACAAGCCAGAAATTGTAGACTGTCAGTGATAAAGTACCTTTCAGGCTCAGGACTGCTCCTACCATCCTGCCCAAAATGACAGTGGTAATAGGGGCCGGCAGGGCAGGGCAGCAGGGTCCTGGGCTGGGAAATTTATTGATGGGATTATCCTGGAATTCAGTAGGACCCTTCATCGGATGCCATCTATACTTCTGGGATGGAGCAGGCATTTAGCTTGTAGGAAAACAGTCTGCCACTCCAGAAACTGGAAACGCTCCCAGGTTTCTGGAAACCTTCCCACTTTCCCCAGGTTCCCCAGGTCTTGGCCTCACCTTGGACGTTGACCTGGATGATTTGTTGAGCTCGGTAGAGAGAGGTGGTGATCTGACAGATGTAGGTTCCCTCGTCTTTTGGAGTGAGGCTGGGTAGGGTGAGTGAGGCATCCCCAGCCATGAGGAGCTGCTCAGGCCCGAGGGTAGCACCTTCCCGCTTGGCCTGACCCTGCCCTGTGGTCCAGCTGTACACCAGCCAGCCACTGCCCTTATACTGTAACCGCCACTCCACGCTGATGAGGTCCAAGCCTGGTGCTGTGGAGAAGCCACAGTGCAGGGTGGCCGAGGCCCCCAGCAGGAAAGTCAGGGATGGAGTCTGTGTGGACACCTGGAACTCCACTGTAGTAAGAAAAAGTGGGATGAGTGGGGGTTTCTTTCTCCTGGAGGGTGCTTGTTTGCTGAGCAGTGGGCATGCTTGAGGGGAGTATGGAAGGTAGTGTACACAAACATGCTCCTGCTTCCTCCCCTGGACGAGGAGCCCACTTGGGCTTATTTCCCTTCAGATGGAACCACAAAGAGGAAGTGAAAAAAAATGTTAACTGGTGAATCTAAGTGTTCCTTGTGTTATTATTATTTTACCTTTCCTGTAGGTTTAAGATAGCTCAAAATAAAAAGGGGGGTACCTCTAATAGTGCTAGGATTACGGTAGATACTGGACAGAGGTGAGGAACCCTCTTTTCTGATGTAGCAGATTGGATTTAGGATAGACAACAACAGAAAGGGTAGCATGTTCTGGTATTTTCCACAGATAGGAGGGGAGCCCCTCTAATCTTGTCTGGGCTTGAGTGTATCTTCTTGGAGGCAAAATATTGGATTAGATGAACTCTGGAGGATCCTTTCATCATGGCCTCAATTTCCTGTGCCCTCTGGGGTGCTGACTTGGACAGGTCACAAAGACTTGGGTTTTGCTAACAAGAGACCATGAACACATTCTAGTTCATCTCCATGTGAAAGGTGGTTATTTGAATTCACCCCTGTGCTCTGTTCTGATCGTGAAGCACCAGAACAGGCTAACGTTTCTCTGGGAGAAAACTGACATTTGACTCAATAAGACTATTACACACAGCACACATAAACAGCATCGTGTGTCTTCTTTCGTCACAACAGTGCAGTGAAGTACAATTTTCCCCACTTGAGTTGATACATAGGTCGGCCTTATGTTCAGCCCTCAGCAACACTCTCTTCTTCTGGACTCAAGTCTTCAGGAAGGATGACCACTAAGGCCTGGGGACACCCTGAGATGACCTAGGTGGTGGATGGAAGTGACTTGTTTTCTTCCTCCCAGCCCCATCTCTGCCCACTTAAAATAAAACTTCTTTCCTGCTATCTGCTTTTCACTTTCTTACCTACAGTCCTCACAGTGTCCTGGGGACTCAGGGACAGGTGCATCGAGGTTTGCCAGATAGCCTCCTTCTCAGCATCCCAGAGGGTCTTCATCACCATGGAGACACTAGGGCCCCCTCCAGACACCTGCACATTAGTGATGAACCAAGCTGCGGTCTCAACAGTGGCCTCTTGTCTGGTCTGGAGAAAGTAGCGGGAGATCTCACAGGTCACCTCCTTCTCACTGCAGTCAGCATGGAGTAAGGCCTCGGCTTGGGGAATCTGTACCAGGTCCACTGGGGAAGCAAGGTGGCCCAGAGGTGGAGTTGGATTTTTGGGGAAGCAAGCATGGGTGTGTGTCCTCGGGGACTGGCTTAGGAATAGCACTGTCCCAACAGAGGGAGCCCCAAAGGACTAGAAACCCAGAAAGAGGGCTCTTACCTGAGGCCTCAAAGGTAACAGGTGGATGGTCTTGGGTCAAGGCACCCCCTTGGAAATCCGTAAAGCCTTCCAAGGAGCCATCATCCAGCATGGGCACCTTCCTCAACACAAGCAAGGCCTTGACCATGTTTTTATTGCTGGCAAAAGTTCCATGGTGCCCACTATTCTTCACCAAGAAGCAATCTAAGACTATGTCAACTGGCCGCCACTGCCTTTCTGTCATAGGAGGCTCTGTAGGAAGACAGCTGACTGAGCACCCTCTTGTTCAGAAAGTTAAGACTATACTTGCTTCTCACCTAATTCCCCCAAACTGTGGCATAAGGGGTAAAAGTTGCCTTCCAGAATCCCAGCTGTCTCTGTGCCCTTTTGCCCCAGTTGTGTCCAATCCTACTTTCTGGGAAGCACCTGCTACAAGAAATAGTTCTTGGTGTGAAATATTTAATGACCTGGATTTACCTTGCTCGGTTTTTACTCTTCTTTCCAATTTTTGAATGAAAGATTGACTCCTCAAGTCAAAAGAACTCTCAACAAAAGCAAATAGATGGGCAAATATTGGGGCAGTGGCCGTGGGGAGAGGAAGACTGCCAATGCTGTGGGCCCTGGCAGCCATCTTAAATCTTCCCAAGCAGCCCATGGAGTCAGCTTTCTGCATCTCCTATGTGATCTTCCTAGCCTGGGGAACCTGGTCCTCTTTTGAAGGTGTCCTCTCCTAGGCGAGTACCCTCCCCTGTAGGACAGTGACTGCCCACAATATGTGTAGAGGAAACTAATCTTTATTTGGTTTCTCTCACCACACACTGATGGGTCTGTCCTTGCCAGCCCCTGAGCCTTTTGCCTGTTGGGCTTAGATAACTATTGGAAAGTGTCCCTGACCCCCTTGTCCTCTGGAATCTAAGGGAGAGTGGCTACCAGGAGCTCTGTTGGCCCAGGCTCTCCCCCCCCCCCCCCCCCCCCCACACACACACACACACACACTCACCGGATTCTGCTGCTGCAGATAGCACCAGGCTGATCAGCAGGCACCATACCTCCCAGGAGCCCATGGAGGCTGCTCTGGGCCCCTCTCACCCACTCGCTTCTCCACGATCCCAATGTTTGTAAGGTCCCCGTTGGAGAAGAGCTGTTGGCTCTCCAAACACAAATACCCTGTGCTGGCCAGCAACAATCTTTTCTGTCCTTTCAGCCTACTTTCACTTTCACTTAGAGGCAATCTCTCTGTGGCTGCCTTTGCCTCTGGGTGAAGCCATTTGTAGCAGCTTCCGGAGTCCTACTCACAGTTCTCTCTTCTCAACATTTACACACTTCCTGATGATTTCAACCAGACTACAGTGGCCTGGGGTAACTTGTCTCCTTTTCTGTCAGTGCCTTATGTACACCCAGCTCCTTTGGACAGGATCCAGGACAAATCTGCTCGGGAGAAAGCTCCTCCCTCAGATCCCCGTCAGAAAGGAAAGGTGTGGCCTGGGTTCTGGGACTGGGATTTTCCGCAGAGAGCTGGACAACTATAACACGTGGTAGTCTGTCACTTTATTTTGTTGATTTTCTGGGTCTGTGATACAGCATGAGGAGCTTTAGTAGCTAGAACTGTGTTTTTTACAACCAGAGCCCCAACCCTCCCGCAGCCTGGAGAAGAAACTGGCTGGACCACAGGACATGGCAGGGGTGGACAGGGAGGGGACTCTTGCTTCCCACTCCCAGCTCGTTACCACTTTTTATGAGACTTATTGCCAGTCTCACAAAACCACTTTTTCAAGTCCGTACAGAGGAAAGGGTCCTGGCAAGAAGATGGTATTGAAGTTGAGGTGCCAGGTTCAGTTCTCTCTGAATGGTCACATGGGCTAGAATGGAGGCTAGGGCTTTGGGGCATGACCCCCACCCTTAGCAGGCAAGCTCAGGGGTAGGCAGCGGCTCCGGTTTGCGGTAATCCTCCTGGATAGGAATGACACCACCCTCCTCCTCTCTGGGGCAGCTGTAAGCATAAGGCTCTGCAGGTTCCATTGGACATTCTCCTTTGTCTACAGAAAGGGAGGCAGAGGAGTCTTGGACACAGTGGGGAGGGGAAGCAGGGAGACAGTTGGGCAAAGGAGGGCAAGATTGGGGAAGGACTGTAGCTAGGAAGAAGACGAGGAGGGATGCAGGGTTGGCACAGATGGAGCTTCAATGAGGTTAGAGGCAGGGGTGACAGGGTTCAGGGACAGAATTACAGACCTGTGTTTTGTTTCTTACTTGGTCCATATTTTCTTTGTTGGTGGAGGAACAGGACTCCACCCAGGATGACAGTAAGTAGCATTCCAGAGAGGATCACAAAGATGCGGATACAGTCTGAGCTACACAGGGACTTCTGAGCTGTGAGAGGCAGGGGACACACGGGTTTGGAGGAGAGCCTAGTACTCAACTCTCTGCCTGCAGTCTAGCTCTCCTGTCCCACCTCCTATCCTCACCATTGGACTAAGTCTTCTCCTGATTGCTAGACCTCTTATTCCCACTCCTAGGAACTTCCTGGCCCACTTCCTTCCTGGACTCTCTGTGTTTCTCTGGGGTGGGGTTTGGGAAGACACTCACGTGGCCAGTGATTCAAGAGTGCAGGGGCAGACAGCTGTCTGAAATGAGCCAGAGTCTGCATGGGCCCGGCCTCAGCCATCTCTGGAAAAACAGACAGTCTGAGTAGCAGCAGACAGTCTCAAGGGGTGTGAGAAGCACTGGATGAGATGGGAACGGGGAGACAGGATGCCAGGCAGGTGAGGTATGGGAGACTGGAGTGTGTGTGGTAGTGGAGAGGGCTGGATATAGGGTTGCCTGAAACTTACTTTCAGTGTAAGGTAAGCTGATTAATGGTGAGTGAGGGCCCAGGGCCTGAGGCAGATGAGTAGTCAACAGGGAGTTTGGGAGCTGATCACACTCAGTACACTCCTTGTCACGGCACTGCCAGTCTTTGGGGCAGGTACACTTGGCATTGGCAGTGATGGTGCAGTTGCGAAGGCGGAGACCTGGAGAAAAGAGGATCACAGATGCACAGACATTCAGGCCTTCAGAAACCTGCCTCCTCCTCTGCCCAGACCCCCATCCAGGTCCACCTTTTAGGACAGGCTTCCCTCTCTCACTTTAACCTACGCACCCCACAAAGGCTGCTGTCCTTTGCCTTTGTGCTGGGAGCCATTATTGCTATTATTATGGAAGATTCATAGGTTCAGAAATGGAGACCATGAAAAGTAGACACATAATTTTCTCTCTTACTTGCTGATACAACTTTTTACTGGAGTATAGGATAGAGATGTATGAGAGGTCTTGAAAAATTCATGGAAAATAAAATTTAAAAAGAATGGAATTTTTCCATGAACTTCTTGACGCCCCCTTGTATGTATGCTTATAGGGAAGTATGATATATATCAGCCCTCTGTATTCACATCCAACTTCAACCAATCGCAGTTTGAAAATATTTAAGGAAAAAGAAAAAAAGCAATTAAGTGGCCAAAGCAATCCCTCAAAAGCAGAGAGGGAACTTAAAGTGCTACTTACATAGCATTTGCATTGTATTAGGTATCATAAGAAGTCTAGAGATGATTTAAATATACTTAGGTTCTGTGCAAATACAATGCCATTTTATATAAGGGACTTGAGCATCTGTGGGTTTTACTATCCATGGGGGTCCTGGAACTAGCCTCCCATGGATACTAAGAAATGACTGTGTAAGTGTAAAGCTTGATGAGTTCATACAACTCAGGCACACATATAGCTAGTACTCAGATTAAGAAACAGAAGATGACCAGAACACTGAAAGATCCCTGATGTTCCCTCTAGTCACTAGCCATGCAAGAATAGCCACTATCTTGACCTCTGACACCACAAATAAGTTTTGCCTGGTTATGTACAGTACAGATGGAATCATGTAGTATGTACCCATTTGTGTCTGGCTTCTTTTACTTAGTTCTGTGAGAGTCATGCAGATTGTTGAGTGCAAGTGCATTCTCATTGTTGTATGGTATTTTATTGTATGACTATACCACAATGTATTCATCCTACTGTTAATAGGCATTTGGGTAGTTTCTAGCTTTCACCCATTAGGAATAGTGTTGCTATGACTCCTGATAGGTTTTTAACTTCCCTAGAGAGTGATTGGATTACTGACACTCTTTGCCATTAAAAAACACATTTTATTCAAGTGTAGGGGTCAGATGCTGGCTGACTGTCAATCAGTTATGGCTGTACTTGGCTGAGTTGGGCTTACAAGTGTTTGGATATTGAGAGGATGGTGATTTTGGGCAAGCAGCAATATCTGGAGATGGAGTAGGTTTGAGTGGCACCTGGTAGGACTTTATGAGCCCTGACAGGTGGAAGAGGGCAGGAGAAAGGATGCCTAAGACTGCTTAACAGTTTCTCTTAGAGTATGCCTTTTTCCAGGGAAGAAAGGACAGTTTCCATCTTCTTATGCCCTTGTGTCCTCTCCTTCATGAATTTTAACTTGAGTTCCTATTAGAGAGTACTTTCTTAGTGGTTTACCAGGAATTATAAACCAGCTTGGACAAGGAGCTACAAGGGATGGATGAGTGAGAAAAGTCTGAAACAGTGATGGGAGGAGGAAACAGTAGTGGAGGTAGGGGTGGGGTAGAGGAAGAGGTAGGTAAAGGTGGAAAGTATTGGGGATGGGGGTGATTATGAAGGTGTCTCTTAAAGGGGAAAGGGGCGAATTAAAGAAGAGGCCAGGGTGGTTAATATGGATGAAGTGGCATGAGTGTTCAGAGGTCTGGACTTTCTATTCACCATGCATAGCCTGTGATTGAATTTCAGGCACTTTTCCATCTTGTAAATGGGAGTACTGAGGTCCAAACTCATTTAACCTTCTCCCCATTTCTTTCCTTGCTACAGTACCCTTCTGCAATCTGGTCCTGCCTGTGTGCCTTGGGGATCTGTTGGCTTGGGGATCTGAAGGACCATGGAATGGGCTGGTTAGGAACACTGTGGAGGGAGCGGGAGGGCTTAGCCCTGGGAAAACGGCCTTCTGGTGGAGTCTGAAAAATGAGTGGTGGAGGCCTGGACTTCCATCATTTCAATTCTGCTGCTACGACGAAGAGAAAATCATCCATTAACAATCTTACTTGTAAATTAAATGGACTGAGAAATACATGTTTTGTATTAAAGATGTGCTGTTTAACTCATTTGAAATAGAAAATCCCCTCTCCCCCACTACAATGCAGTATAAAAAGCCTACCAAGACCACACATACTTTATTTTATAGTTCAGTAGTCTCTCAATCCTGTTTTGCTGAAGAACATTTCTACTCTAGTGTGTATACTAGCATGTAGTTTCTGAAAGTCTAGCTAAAATGGAGAAATAATCAAAGAATTCATCAGCCTAGCTACAGAAACTGCATTTCTTACTTTTTTAAAAGAAAGATATGATTATAAAGAAAATATGAAAAAACACAGGCCACATACATTTTCATTTTTCTAAATTGACTTTTTTTGAGGGGAAAAAAAAAAAAAGTTCCTCCCCACTGACTTAGAGTGTTATTTTCATAGAAAGATGTTTTCCAAGTTTCAAACAGCCAGCTTACCAAAATGCGTTCTGGGAACTCAGGCGTTTAAGGACTCAGGGGTTCTTGTCTGAAATCTGAGGTCATTCCCCTTTTATTGTCTTGTCCATGATATAGTCTGATCAATCCCTCAAATTTTGCTCTATCCTCCCCTAAAATGCTAGATTTCTCCCCACCTCCCTACACCTCACCTCCCAGAGCCCCCCAGCATGGGCCTCACTCGCCTTGAGCTTGCAAGTAGGCTAAAGCTTGTACTTCTCATCCTTTTTTGTTTCTTCATACCCAGCTCGCCAGCCTTGCTCACCAAAAGCTGTCCAACACCCCCACCTGCACACCCCAAGCCCTTTGGTCCCCTTGCCCATCTCACCAAAGTTACAGTGCCGACAGCTCTCACAGTGGGGCCGGCTGTGGTGGTCTGGGGAGAAGGAGACCCCTGGTACACACGGCTCACACCGAGCAGCCTTTCCATGCTCATCACAGTCCTTCACTAGGAACGTTCCTGTGAGATAGGGTCCAGCGTCAAGGCCACAGAAAGTCCCTTCCCCTTCTCTACCTCTTCAAGGTGGTGTCTCCCATCTGCTGCAGGATTCCTCTTCTTACTCCATCTCAGCCTCACCCTCTGCTTCCCTTTACTTTAAACCATGTGCTCTCTCCCCCTCACTCTATTTAAGCTCCTGCTCAGGCCTACTCTCTTACCTGGCTCACACATCTGGCAGCACAGGTCTCCTGGAGCCCGATAGTGCCCTTTTGGACAGCCCTTGGGGCCTGGGGTAGCTGAGAGCCCCACTAGAGTCCCCAGAACCCAGAGCCAGCAGGGAGGTGGCCAGGTCATAATTGCAACTGTCCAGAGAGCTCTTTATCCTATTGACTGACTGCTGGTCTCGCTGGATTGGCAATCCCCACTGGGTACTGGTGCCTCTGTCTTGTCACTTCCTCAGTAGGGGCTGTGGTTCTTCACCAAGTTGCCCTGCTGCAAGTGGCAAGTTGACCTTTGATGGTGGTTGTGGTCCTAGAGCGTCTATAGTGGTGTTTTTTTTTTTTTTTTCTCACAGCAACAACCTCCACCCTCTTGCTTTCTGCATGCTGGGAGGGTATTAAAAAAGCAAACCCTATCAGAGCTTCTGTTCTTCAAAGATGCCCCTCCAACACACCAGCCTCCCCTTGGTTTCCGTCTCTCTCTTGTGCTCATGAAACTTTAACTCATTGGTGCCTGCTGCTTTTACCAAAAGTTGCCCACCTCTTCTCTTCACAAACTTGTACACGAAGACACCCAAACGCACTCCTGCTCACAGCTAATCCAGATGCTCCCTCTCTCTTCTCCCCATGTCCCTTTTCTCATAAAGCTAACCAATTTAAAGAAGGAAGGGCTACCAGAAGTGAGCCTTTTATCTGAAACTCTTGGGATCAGATATGTTTGGGAATGTAAGACTTTTTAGATTTTAAAATGAAACCAGCTGGTTTATATGTTACAAAACACTCTCATGGAGCTGGGACAGCACTCATAAGCAGACACATTAATATTTTTGTAGTGAAACAGTTGAATGGAGTTACACTGTGTGGGACTTAATAATAACTGTAATTAGCTTCACATCCATTGAGACCTGATTTTATGGCCCAAAGAATCTGCTACAGGATTATTCAGAATTGCAATTGAGTGACTGTAGATGTGTTTTTCTCCTCTGTAGACACTGCACTAGGAAATCACAGGTGATCTCCTTTGTCTTTATGCTAGCCTGTGACACAGACATTGCCCACAGCCGGGCTGCCTCCTTCCCTCTCAGATGCCTGCTCACCATTCTCCTCACCTGAGCTCCCTCTTGACCTCCTCCATCCTACCCTCTTTCTATCAGTCACTGGTGTGACTGGAGCATCTCCACTCCTGGCTTTGAGTATTTGGGGTAGAAGGTAACTTCCTATATAGGCTATTTCTTCCCTTTTTCTCTGGTTCTCCTGGAAAGACTGATTTGGGGATGTTAGAAATAGCTCAACTTTGCCCTTTTTGAGGCCTGGCAACACTTGGATCAGAAACCTCTCCTCATTTCCCCAGTGAATGAGGTGTGGTGGTGGTGTGCCGTGGAGTTGGTTCTGAATCATAGCGACCCTGTATAGGGTTTCCAAGGCTGTGAATCTTTACCGGAGCAGAAAGCCTCATCTTTTCCCTGCAGAACGACTTATAGTTTCAAACTGCTGAATGTGACATTAGCAGCCCGACTCGTAACCACTACACTTACTCATAACCACATACCAGAGCTCCTTGAACAACGTGTATGGTAGCTTATTTTTCTAGGACATTTTTCACGTAGGAGCTTTGCAGTTGTTTTCACACTGCTTCTAGAATGTACCCACCCTATGGTTGCACCTGTCAGATCTGCTCTCTATCTTATCTTTGGTTTCCTTTCTCTTCATTTTTTCCATCCTCTTGCCTTTCCCCAACCCCCTCTACAGCTCCTTGACAGGGTCTACTTAAGTGGGAAACACATATGGGTGTGATTTGAAGATGTAATTATGCAAAACCACTGTGTTCATTATCTATCAGGCAGGGTGCTTGAATTCCCCCTCAGAGAGAGTTTCCTTTGGAACAAGAGCAGCTTTTTGTCACTATCAGTTCTAGCCTGTTCCAGGTTATTGTGAATACTTTCACTGAATTGTTTTAAAATAACTTATTACTGTGAATTGAATGAAGCTTTAAAGAACGGATTCATCAGTCCCATATTCAACAAATCCTACATTTTGTGTCATTACAATGATTGTCCCTTCCATGTCCCAGCAAGCAATGTCTTTCTTTGCAACTCTTGCACTCCTGTCTGTTTCTTCCACTACCTTCATCTTTTCTGTGCCAACTTCCCTTTTGTTGTATATTGCCTTCCCCAGTGAATAAATTTCTATTCCCTCCTATCCCTGGTAACCATCATAGAATGTTTCTTTCATCAAGAAAAATTTTTCTTAACTTTTTACAATGGTCTCATACAATATTTGTCCTTTTGTAATTGACTAATTTTACTCAGCATATTGTCTCACAGGTTCATCCATGTGATGAGGTGTTTTTCAAATTCATCATTATTCTTCAGTGTTGTACAGTATTCCTTGGTGTGTATGTACTCAATTTTGTTTAACCATTTTTCTGTTGATGAGCATTTAGTTTGTCTAGATCTTTTTGCTACCGTGAAGAGTGCTGCAGTGAACATTAGTGTTCATACATTTATTGACGTCATGGCATTCATTTCTTGAGTTTAGAAGTAGAGGGATTGCTGGGTCACATGGTATTTCTAGTTCCAACTTTTTGAGGAAGTGTCATATACCATTTTACAGTCCCACCAGTAGTGTAGGATGGTCCCAGTCTGTCCACACCTAGCCAGCATTTGTTGTTTTCTGTTTTTTGGAACTTTGTTATTGATACTAGGGTATATGATATCTCATTTTTGTTTTGATTTGCATTTCTTTAATGGCTAAGTCCTGGATAAGCACTGGACTGCTAACAGCAAGGTCTGTGGTTCAAACCCACCAGCTGCACCTTGAAAATTCTATACAGGGTTGCTATGAGTCAGAACTGATTCGACAGCTCTTAACAGCAACAAACAGCTAATGATCTTGAGCATTTTTTCATATGTTTGTTGGTCACATGAAGTGTCTGTTCATGTCCTCTGCCCATTTTAAAATTGGATTATTTTTCTTCTTCTTGTATTCAATAAATTTTAGAGAGTAGTCCCTTGTCTGGTCTATCATTTCTAAAAATTTTCACAGTCTGTAGGTACTTTTATTCACTCTTTTGGTGAAATATTTTGATGCACGTAAGTGTCTAATTTTTAGGTGGTCCCAGTCATCTATTTTGTCTTCTGCTGTCTATTTGTTGTCAGTTACATTTCATAGTTTATTTATGCCATGTGTTAGCACCCCTGAGGTTGTCTCTGTTTTTTCATTAATGATCTTTATTCCACATTGAGTTCACTTTTTTGTATACGGTGTGAGATATAGGTCTTGTTTCATTCTTCTACAAATGGATTTCCATTTTGCCAGCACCATTTTGTTGAAGCAACTATCTCTTCCCCATTTAATGTGTTTTGATCCTTTGTTGAAGATCAACTAATAGTAGGTCGGTAGATTTACTTCTGGATTCTTGATTCTGTTCCACTGATATATGTACCTTTCATTGTACCAGTATCAGGCTGTTTTAACTGTGGCTATGTAATAAATTTTGTGATTGGGAAGTGAGAGGACTCCTACTTTGTTTTGCTTTGCTTATCCATAGTCTCTTTCCTTTCCATAAAAAGTTAGTGATCAGGAGTGATTAACCTTTCAGTCTAGGAGCGGAGGGCCCTGGGACCATCAATGGAGAAGAGCGGAGAGTGGGACCCCACCCAGAGGAGCAGTGAGGCCTGAGACTGAGACAGAGAGGATGAC